AGGACGTACTGGTCGGAGGAGCGGCCGTGCTTATTTGACACCTGGCAGGAGTAGGTCCCGTTGTCCAGCAGGCTGAGGCTGGGGATGGTCAGGATTTCGCCCTCGACTAGGGCTCGCTCCGGAAGGGAGTCGTTGGCCCGGCTCCACTTGATGTCTGTGGGGCTGGGGGTAATAAAGGGGGGGGTCAGGTGCTGCCTCTTCCACATCTCCCTCCGGCCCCAACCCCCCCCCCCTCACGGCCCCTCTCCTCCCCAAGCACTCACAGTGGGTTGCCGTTGACGGCGCATGTCAGGATGAGGGTGTCTCCTTCCCGCATCACGCCGGGCGGAGGGTGGATCCGTGCCGTGGGCGAGTCTGGGAAAGAGAGGCAGGCAGGGCAGGGGCCCAATGAAGCCACCGCGCAACGTATGCCGGCTCCCCTTTCCTGTCTGTAACTATTGGTGAGGTTTAGGTACATAAGGGACGCTAGTGGAGACTCCCCCCCCCACCCGCCCCCTCCCTTCGGCCGCCCTGGTCGTTTCTCGGCCGCAGGTACTGGGTCTGCTTCCGCTGCCCGCGGAGGGCCGGATGGGTGGCCTCGCAGGTCACGATGCTGCTGTGGTCCTTGCGCTCCACCCGGAAGCGCACCACGTTGGTGACGCTGAAGACCTTCCCGCTCTCCTGCCGGCTGCTCATCCCTGGGGGGGGGAGTGCACAGTGGGGGGAACCATGAGACCCCCATCCCCACCCGCCTCCAAGGACGTACTGAGGTGGCAGGTGAGGCCAAATGGTGATCCCAGGGCAACTCCTGTGGGAAGAGCCACTGCCCCCCAGCTGCCCCCCACCCCCACCCCTCCCCTGAAGCCCAGAGGCACCTTTCAGCTCTCTCCGTTCCCGGAACCAGCGCAGGGTGGCGGCCGGCCGTGACCGGGGGACGGTGCAGGTGAGCTCCACCTCCCCGCCTTCCACTGCCTGCTCCTTCACCTCCACCAAGGGGTTCTCAGGGGGCACTGGGGGGGGGGAGAGGGAGAGACAGAAGGAAGGGGTCACGGGGAGACCCAGCCAGACCTTCAACCACACAACACAGCCAATGCAGCCCCTGCGCCAGGATCCGGCACTCGGCCCCCCCGTCCCCAGCATGTGCATGAGTGCTGTGTGTTTCTGGGGGGGGGGAGAGGGAGTGGGCACCCACCCAGCACTGTGAGGATTGCAATCTGGTGGTGGGTGTCCTCCGTGTAGAGCTGGCAGAAGTAGCCCCCCTCGTCCTCCAGCCGGGCATTGGAGAGCACGATCCGCACCTGGCTCTGGGTGAACTCCACCAGCTGGAAGCGCTCATCCTTCAGGGCTGCGGGGAAACGGATGGATGGAAGGAAGGAATGGCACCCCCCCCCCTACTGAGCTACAGGAGGGAGAGCCATGGGGGTCATGGGGAGAGGCCTTTCCCAGTTGGACTCCTCAGGGGGTCTTGGGTCAACCAGTGGGCTGTTTGTAGGATCAAGAGGGAACGGAGTCTTTCTGCTCAGCCCTACAGGTTGTGAGGAGGAGGAGGATGGCCTGCGTTACTTCATCCTCAAAACAGCCCTGCAATTCAAGCCATGCTGAGAGAGGGGTCACTCCCTTCCAAGGGGACTCACGGCTCAGGTCCAGGCGGTCAGTAGGATGACCATTGGGGCTTTTCCCGAGGGCCTCCCTCCCCTGCCTGCTTGCTTACCCCGCGTGCCGTTGAAGAAGAGCGTCTGCCGGGAGGGATTCTGGATCACCACGATGGAGCCGTCGTACTGGTGGAGCCTGCAGTTGATCTCAGCCTGGCCGCCCTCTGCCACCGTCACATTCTCCGCTTGGACCTCCTGGGCTCTGGCTGGAGAGAGGTAGAAAAGTGGAGGGGTCATCAGGTGGAAAGGGGCGGGGCAGCGGAGAGGTCACCAGGAGGAAAGGAGCGGGACAGGGGTCACTGGGATGAAAGGAGTGAGCCAGCGGTGAGGTCACCAGGTGGAAACGGGCGGGGCAGCGGAGAGGTCACCAGGAGGAAAGGAGCGGGACAGGGGTCACTGGGATGAAAGGAGTGAGCCAGCGGTGAGGTCACCAGGAGGAAAGGAG